ATATAATCGCCCATGCAAAAAATATGGTATTGAGAAAGTCCCCCATTTCTTTCTCCCTTCGCCTTCGCGTAGGGGATTTTTTTTTTTTTTTCCTTTTTAAATGTCCCGTGGCAAATAAAAACAACCCGCTGCATTTTACTAGCGCCGCAGATTATGTATGTATATAGAGAGACAGAGAGAGATAAAATTTTACTGACAATTATGGTAGAATTTATGGTGTCAATTTTACTCGCTGGTTCAGCCGAGGGAAAGAGCAGGGCTGGAGCAGGGGAGGCAAAATCCGATTATTTCTGTACAGCAACAACAGAAGGGACAGGAGAGGTTCTTCGGAGCGGGAGATTTCTGCGCCCCCCCCCTCGCGCCCACCCCTCCCCCGCCGCCCCGAGCCAAACCGGGCTCTGCAACAAAAGAAATCGCGGAGTCTGCGAGCGCTGCGCTGCAGAGCCGCGTTGGGGCGGACGTATTTCCGCGGGGGCGGCTCTGCGCGCCTCGACACCCCGACAGGGTGGGAGCGGAGCCCGCTCCGCTGCCGCGCATCTATCGCACAGATATGTACCGAGAGCCAAATAAGACGGAGCGCATTCGCGGTCTTTGGCAGAAGTTGTTGTTAGGAAAATTCAGAGCCGTGCAGCGCAATAAAAGAAAATGACTGCTGTAACCGTTTATGGGGTGTAAAACGCTGCAGGGCGAAAGGCAGAATGTAGGGAGCCGGCACGGAGCGTACAGATGTGCAGAACTGCGGGGGGAAAATGCTGTCGGCTTCACCTTGAAAAAAAAAAAAATAATAATAAAAGAAATCCGGGATAAGATTTGATGAGTTCTAATTAGTGAAAGGAGCTCGTTCTGGCGTGCACACACAAAAAAAGCCCCTAATTGAGCCCCGAGCCGGTGTTTGGGATGCTGGGACGCCCTCTGTTGTTGCAGACAGAGGCAACTTCAAAGAATCAGCATTAAGAGTGTGTAATAAATGACGGGTCTGCAAACTGTCTGGAATTCGGCCCTTAATGAGTTTACAACTGTCCAGCCACAATTAAGATTTTCTACAAAAGCCTTTTCATTTGTTTTGTCTGGCTGTTTTAGATAAAGCGAGGGAGCGGAAATAACAGCCTTTATGAGCCTCCCCCCCGGCCGGGCCGGGCCAGGCGCGGACGCGGACGCGGAGCCGCGGGGCGCGGCCGGAGCGGGGCCGCCTGCGCGGTGCCGTTCCGCGGGGCGCGGCGGGCGGGCGGAGCGCCGGCTCGCCGGCAGGTGGCGCTGTGAGCCCGCGAAAGAGCCGCCGCCCGCCATCAAGCGCTCGGCCGCCTCCCGCCAGCGCCTAAAATGTCGACGGTGTGGTTGCAGAACGCGGGCCGGAGCCACGGGCTGCGCGTCAACAAAGGCCGAGTTCATTTTTTTTTTCCCCACTATTTTTTGGTCTCTCTCTGTCTCTCTCTCTCTCTCTTTTTTAATTTTTTTTTTTTTTAAATCCATTTGTTTTTTTTCTTCTTCTTCTTCTTTATTTTTATTTTTTCCATTTTTTCTCCTTATTCCCGGCTCACTGAGCCATCAGGACGCAGTGCGGGTAGCATCAATGCGTGGCCGCAGCAAACGCTCGCTCCTCACCGCGTCCCGCGTTATTATTCTCAAAGCACCCACCGCGCTCCCTATCAGCTGACAGAGCCGCGGCACAGAGCTGCGAGCCCGTCCTTTCCATCCCCAATCCCTCGCCCCGCTCTGAGCTTCCCGTTTTCCCGGTGAGGAATGACATATTCGGAAAATGCGGGGACGGCAGCGCTGGGGCAGAGCAGGGGGAATCGGGGTGCTCCCGGCTCCGGCCGGCCCTGCCCGGGACAGGCGGTGGGCACGGGCCGCCCTCGGAGTGCGTGGCAAAGACGGGAGAAGCAGCGCTGCGGAGCTTTAATTGGAAAATTATTTACTGGAGAAGGGAAATTTCCAACATCTGTCTCTGGTACAAATAAAACTCTCTGCCTGCGTCCTCGGCGATCCCCGCTCCGTGCGACCCGCTGTACTTCCATCGTACAGATGCTAACAGTCGGGTACTCCGCAAACTTGACGCGTCTCAAAGTCACTCCTAACTTCTTCTGGCCCGCTACTCTGATTTCCTCCTCTCGTTTTCGTATTTTTCTCCGTTTTGCTTTCGTTGGCTTTCGGTCTTGGGAACGAGAAGTAGTGGGGAATGGTAGCGCGTGTTCACATGTTGCCAAAAGAAAGGGGGGAAAAGTAATTGGAGAGAAAACAGAAGTGGGAGGGAAGGAAGCACAAAATGTGCTTTGCAAGAAGATCGTTGTATTTTTCCTCAGACAAGAGGAAAGAAAAAAAAAGCTGAACAGCGCTGCGTAACAGAACCGCTTTCTCTGCGTTTTATTTACATTTCCTTAAATCAAAGACAATATCTTAACATCGAAATTCAGCATCGGAAAGGAATGCGCGCTCTGTGCTATTTTTTCCCCACCCCGTTGCAAAGATTTAATTCTTTCTAGGGATAGAGAGCAGCAGCCACTCCCCGCTTTCTAATAAGAGCCTTCTTATCAAATGTTTGTCTACAAAGGCGTTGTTAAACTTGTTATGATTAATTCTTTTTTTTTTTTTTTCTTTTTTTCCGAGGGCAGTAAAACTGCACCGAAATTAAGAAGTGTTTATGCGTCGTCATGAGAAGTAATAACGTTGCACAGCGCGCTCCATCATAATCGGGGATAAATTACGGCGGGATTCCAGGACAACAAAAATCCTCTCTAGTGCGAAGTACATCACGATCCCTCTCGGCACATGAGCCATAACCGGGCAGTGCTCCCAGGTCGCGCGTAACTTCTGAGCACCGTTTAATCGCTACCTTTGACTTCCCGGAAAAGCTCGGGACGCACAGCGAGGCACCCCCGGCTCTCCCACGTAAAAAATACATGCAGTGAATGCCGCCTGGAGGATTATTTTTAAAGCGTGTGAGAACATTGCGGTGACGGAAACCTCGCAATCTCAGCTCGCTCGCTATTTCCTCGACTGTAATATATATATATATACATATACATTTGAATGCGTTTTGCAGGCTGCTGTGTCCGGGGTTGTTTGCGTGCGACAAAATGAGACATTTCGGGGCTATTTCCGAGCAGCGCCGTGCCGCCGTTGGGCGAACACGCGGGGGGTGGGCGCGCACATAAGCGGTGGGGGCCAATTCGGAGCTGCTTCGACGATTTGTTTGGTGGGAGGCATTTTGACGTTGTTATTATTATTATTTGTGGGTTGGCAGATAAAAAGCTGCGAGCAAAATAAAAGAAAAGGCGGCGGTCACAACGCACCGCCGCAAAACTAACGGCATCGCAGCGCTTGTTTTGCAGACACGCGGAACCCGAAATACACGCGCCCAGCCCCGCCGTTCGCTTCGACGTTATCAATATCAGAGTCTAGACATCGGCTATGTTTGCCGTTTCTTTCTCCTCGCGTCTTGGTATGTTGTCACCAGAGGAGCAATTTATTGGTCTAATGTCATCTACTTCAGCTTCTTTGATCTTCTGAGTCGTCGTCTTGTTTGCTTCGCGTTCGTTTAACTTCTTGGGCCTTTCTTCCCTTCCGGCAGCCTCTTCTGCCGGAATGTTCCCACATCGACCGCAGCGATATTGCCAAAATCGGAATAAACGCGAGCAGAGCCCTTTTCTCCAGATTCTCCCCCGCGCCTCCGAGTATCAGCCGCGTTTTCACGTGCTTGGCGCTTGGCACATCTCTAGGAGCAGCCGCCACATTTGCATGCTCTGAGGCTGCAATATCTCGGGGACTTCGCTCTAAGAATTTACTCGCTTCTGTCAGAAACCTGTATTCATGGGGCTGCAATAACCGCGCATAAAGGCTCCCCAAGGGCGAGCGTGGAGGTGTGCGGGGGGGAGAGGGTGTTCCACGGTTACAAAACGGAAAGTTTAGGGTCCGTGCGAAATATCGCCAAGAACAATTTTAAGTGGTGAGAAAGTCTTTGTACACGGGGCACCAAACTATAATTGAAAGGAGAATTTCCGGGGCAATTCCATTGTGCTCCTTCCAGTTTATGATGTGCAATACAGGCAGGCAGTAAAAGCTGTCTTTACCAGGACTCCCTGTCTGAGGGAAGGAAACTCATTTTACGATCCGTTTAAAGGAAGGGCACGGTGCAGCATCCTCAATGCAGAGCCATTCGCATTGTTGGGGAGCCGGGGTTTAGAAAACCGGCAGCGTTCCCCACGAGCTGAGAAGAACGGGGCCGTAAGGTATGTACGACGGAAAGGTAAAAGGGGTGCTGGGGAAAATAAATAAATAAATAATAGTAATAAATAAGGCTCAGGGCTGAAGGCATTTGCAGGCGGCTCCTTGAATGCAGCGTATTGTTTTCTTTTTGCTTTTTAAGGCGCTCAGAAAGTTGAACGTTCCCTCAACCGCACGTTGTACGCTGCCTTTATTCGGGGGGCGGTGGTGTTTTCCTTTCTGCCCGGAGAGGAGGGCCGGGCCGACTCGCGGAGGGCTCCGCGCACCCCTATGCTAGGTTCGGGCTCCGGGAACCGCAGCGGCGGGACGGGGTCGGTTGTGCCCCATAGCCGAGTGCGCCCCGAACCCCCTCCCCGCATACCAGCGCCCCTCTGCGTGTTTACAGCACGGACAATAACAACAATAACGAGCGCTTTCACTTCTTTCAAGTTGTTTTGTTTTCAACGTTCTCTCCCTGGCCCCCCTCCCCGCCCCCCCCGCCCCGTCTAACGAGGACCACATGGTGCCCGCCCCCCCCGCCTCCCCCCCCTCCTCCGCCGCCGCCGCCGCCGCCGAGCGGTTCCTCGGAGCGGGACCCGGGTTCCCCCCTCTCTCGGCGGAGGCGGCGGTGCCGTCGGGGGGCGGAGGGGCGGCGGCTCGACGGCGCGGGGCGGCGGCGGCAGCGACGGCGGCGGCCCCGTCCATGGCCGGGCACCGGCGGGCCGCGGCCGGCACCACCTGTGAGGCGGGCGGGGATTGGCGGGCGGCGTCATATGACCGGTCACGTGCTGGAGGCAGCTCAGTCCAAAAGAAAATGGGGTTTGGTGTAAATCTGGGGGTGTAATGTTATCATATATCACGCTACCTCGTAAAACCGACACTGAAGCCTGCCGGACAACAAATCACAGGTCAAAATTATGAGCTCTTCGTATTATGTGAATGCGCTTTTTAGCAAATATACGGCGGGGGCTTCTCTTTTCCAAAATGCTGAGCCTACTTCTTGCTCCTTTGCAAGCAACTCCCAGAGAAGCGGCTATGGACCAGGCGCGGGTGCCTTCGCCTCCTCCATGCCCGGCTTGTACAATGTGAACAGTACCATATATCAAAGCCCGTTCTCTTCCGGATACAGCCTGGGCTCTGATGCCTACAACCTGCATTGTTCCTCTTTTGATCAGAACATTCCCGTCCTCTGCAATGACCTAACCAAACCCAGCTGTGAGAAAGCGGAGGAAAGCAACCTGCACAACCAGGCTGAGGCTAATTTCCGGATATACCCCTGGATGAGGTCTTCAGGTAGGGGCGAGCGGGGCTGGAGCTGTGGCAGCCAGGCAAAGCGTGTCGCCAAAATTACTGTCAGCACAGCCTTGATGGTTTTAATTATAGCCGAGGCGCCATTGCGTAGAAAGCCCGTGGCATTGTATGTAAATGAGTATCATAAAACTTTTTATTGCCCAATTAATGGGTTCTAGCCTCGTAAATTTATTTAACTCCATTTGCTATGGAATTTTAGCATTGAGTTTATTCGCGCTTTTTTGCTGCAGAAATGCGGAGAGTTGGCTGCGTTCTCGCAGAGCCCCCTCGGGTGAACGTCCCCACTGCCCTCCGCCGAAGTCGGGCAGAAAAGCTCCGCCCGGGGGGGAAGGGGAGCCCGGGAGCGGGGTCGGTTGTGCCGGGGCTCCGCCGGGCCGCGCCAAGCCGCGTTCCCCCCCCTGCCCCCTCCGCGGAGATAAGAATCTATAGAAACGGATTGAACAGGAAAGCGGAGGGAGGGGAGGGAGCCGGGGGGGCTGGGGGCGAGAGTGTGTGAAAAGCGAGAGCTCGCTTCTGGGGCTGAACGCGGGGTATTGTTTACGATCCGGGCGGGGTAGGGGAGCGGGGTGTGTGTGTGTGCGTGTGTGTGTGTGTGTGTGCAGGGAGCCCCAGACATTAAAATAAAATAAATACGGCCCGGCCTTCCAGATTTTTATTTCCCCTTGTGAAACGCAAAAGCCTGGAAGGTTTTAGGAAAATATATCGCCCGGGGGAAAGTTCCTCCTCCCAAAAGCAATTTCCTCCCCCACCTCCTCTCCTGAATGCTTTCTCTCCACTTTTTCTATGTCTCGAGCAACTTAATTTTTTGCTTTGCCCGAGCAGGACAGGTCGTGTCGCTGAAATGTCTTTGTTAGGACAAAGTGTGTGTGTGGGGGGGGGGGGGGGGGGGGGGGGGGGGGGGGGGGGGGGGGGGGGGGGGGGGGGGGAGGGGGAGAAGGGGATTATTCACTCTCGCTTGGGCCGGTTTTGTTTTGGTGTTTGTTTTTTACGTTGGAAAAAAAAAATGAGGATGAAATAAAAAAGATAAAACTTTCCTCTTCTTTTCCTGCCTAACCGCTGGGCGTGTGTGCCTGCCTGCCTGCCTTCAGGTCCCGATAGGAAGCGAGGGCGCCAGACCTACACCCGCTACCAGACCCTGGAGCTGGAGAAGGAATTCCACTTCAATCGCTATCTAACTCGGCGGCGGCGGATAGAGATCGCCCATGCCCTCTGCCTGACGGAGCGGCAGATCAAGATCTGGTTCCAGAACCGGCGGATGAAGTGGAAGAAGGAGCACAAGGAGGAGAGCTCCAGCACTCCGGCTCCCAACGAGTCCACGTCAGCAGCAGCGTCTGTGGAGAAAGTGGAAGAAGATGAAGAAGAAGAGGATTAGGGAGTCCCATTCGAGGAAGCAATCTCTTAGAATAACGTACGCACGTGACAGCTGTAAAAGCTCCCTTTAAAGAGAGAAAGGAAAAAAAAAAAGAGACACTCACTGTTTTTATTAAAAAAAAAAAAAAAAAAGTTAATCAGTTCCCTTTAGTTCTGTCTTGCAAGCGAGCGTTTGCAAACATGAGAACGTCTCTTGGGTTGGACTTCCAGTCCTCTCTTCCCTCTCCCCTCTCCCGTCCTCCCCAAACCTGCCCCGTGGTAGCATATCCTGAGAGCATCCTACAATCATTTGAGTTTTCGTTCACCCGCGCTCGGCTGGGTTTCTCCTGGGGACGTTTCGGTGGGAGGACTGCTGCTCGCACATAAAGTACACCGTGACCTTCCGAAGTAACTACCTGACTCAATAGTCCCAATCACGTCGTAAGGGGAAAAGTGCATTAGGCTCGTATTGAGAAAAACTACCTAATTTTGAATAAGTAGCTCTGCACTTTTCTTTTTTATTATTATTATTATTTTTCCTTTATCTTTTCTTTTAATTATTGTTAGGAAAGTACCATAACTAACAGCTACACTAACATAAAGGTAAAACAGCAAGCGAGGGGGAAAAAAAAGATGTGCCACAAACCACTACAATCCACAGCAATGAGTCGTACTACCTATTTTTCAGACTACCTATGTATCTTGCTCCGCCTACCTATCTTCGAAAGTATGCTGTATTTTAGTAGTCAGAAGAAGATAACGTACTAATGTGAATTGCAAAACGCTTTTAGAAACATAAACGCAGTCGTTCGAAAAGCACGCATCGATAGCTTTGGTATAGAATTTGGTACCGTAAAGGCTGAATATATTTAAATTTAAAATAATATATTTATTCCAAAGCAATTATTAATGAAAACCATATGCTGCAATATATCTCTGTCCGCGAACCTTTACTCTCTGGAGTGAGGGAGCGAACGCACACGCCAATATTGTACAAAGCGGTTTAATATCTACCGTGGGCTTCTACCTTAGGCTGCCTCTGCTCAAGGCCGTTTCCTTATCCTGGGTTGATCTTACTCAATATAGCTGAAAGTGTTCTTGGCAAAGCGAATTTAAATGACCATATAACCGCCTTTCAAATATCTGTTTGTCCTGATGATCCCAACGTGTTAATATGTAATACCGTGAATTTTCCTAAGATAGCAGATATTGTATATTTGAACGATTTTTTTTTTTTCATTTATATTTGTCTTGGAGCTCATTTGTAAGACCATGTCATAAATTGGGAAGTATGTAATTAATTGGGAAACTTTGTCGCATGACGTATCGTTCAGATTTCTGTATAAACCCGTCTCGAAGGTTTGGCTAAAGTTTACTCCAACAATTGTATGTTACAATGTGTTTCGATGTGTTCGTTGTGAACATTTGGATATGCCGTGTAAGTATTGGAAGTGGAAAAAAAAAAATGTCTGTGAACTCTCTTTGGAAGTGATCCCGTGTTCAAGTATCCCCCACGATAAATGTGTTTTATGTCACACGGAAAATAAAGATGCTTGTTGACAATTCATTGTGCTTTTATTTTTATTAGGGAAACAGTTCGAAGGGAAGATAAAAAATAATTCACACGCGCAAATAAAGAAATTCGACCACATTATTATTATTATTATTTTTCCCCCATGATCGAAAGGAATAAAATAATCTGAGGTGACGAATGGGCAGCGATCAGTCAATTTCTCTATCTCGACTTCGTGCTTTTTTTTTTTCCCCCTCTCTCTCTCTTTTAAAACTAATTTATTTATTTCTCCCAGCGCGGTTGATTAATAAAGCGGAAAGCTTCTTTATGGCAGGGCTTCCTTCCACCGTGCTTCGGGTTCCTCCAGAAAGCCCGAGCCCGGCCCAGGCGGCCGTGACAGAGCCCCATTGGCACGTAGGGAAACTAGATTTAGGAAGGAGCAAAAAGTGAGGGGCGAAACTTCCCGGGGTGAACGCTCGGCTGCGGGCGGGCGGCTTTCCGGGGCCGGGGGGCACGGGAATGGGGCTAAAAAAGGGGGAAAAACAGCCCCGTTTTAGGAATGAGATCCATTCTGCTGTGTAGCACGCGACGTCGAGGCGAGAAAGTGTTTTCAATGACGGAAGGAAAAAAAAAAAAAAAAGACAGAAATCAAAAATCAGAAAATAAAAATTAAAAATAAAACAACAAAAAAATAATTTTTAGGAACCCAAAAAGCGCCTTTATTCGGGCGGCCGAACGCGGAGCGGAACGGGAGCATCGTCTGAGCTGAAGTTCCCCTTCACCGCCGCGCTCGGTCCCCGCCGATGGACTAATTGCAATTTTAATAAAATTAGTGCGAACTCCAGGTCTGGTAAAAAAAAAAAAAAAAAACTCCTGGGCTGCGTCTGTGGTAAGATGGCGCCTCTCTAAGACCTGCCTCTTCTTAGTGATGAGGAAAAGGCCATAAATCCGTTGTTGTTTATGAAAATTTACAACTTTGCAATACAACTTTATGAGTTGTTCGGTTTTTCCATTGGTCGTTGTCGGTCATGTGGATGGTAACCGTGAACATGAACTTTTTTATAATTTCCCTTGCGAGAATAGAGCCGCATTCTTTTGCTGAGCTCTGTCCTGCTTCGGATCTCTCTGGCTTTCAATCCCCATTTCATTTGCTCTTTGTAAGGCAATAGTGAACAAAGTGTGCGGAGGTTCGGCATAAGCAGCCGCCTAGAACACAGATCCGGGATGGCAATTTCCAGTTCCCCCGCTGGAAGGTGTGGCATATTGGATTCAAAGCACTGGCGTGGCAGATTTTCAACTTGCAACCTGGCTAATTTCCTGCTTCTTCTGGCACCAAAAGGAGGGCGATTCGTCTCCTGTGCAGCCAAAGCGACAGCTGTCAAAGTCGCAGGGGCTCCTGTGAGCCAGAACCTAAAAGGTGAGAAATGTATATGACACTGCCGTAAGCAGGGAAACATGCTTTAATACGGGGAGATATTAGACGTGTGCAATTAAAGCGAATGGGAATGTGAGCGGCCAGAAATAGACGCGGTCGCAGCTCGGCTCCTTTCGGTTTAACCTGTGCATGCGGAGATGCTGAATAAAATGCCGATTTGCTATTATTTATTCGGGAAGCGTGGATTTTTCACCAAGTTTATTTCTGTCGGCGTTTGCCAGGGGGTCGCTGTGGCATTCCGATTATTTTCTAAGAATTCAGGTTTACAGCATCAGCCTGGGAGGATTAGTGTTATTATTATTATTTTTGCCGGGGGTGGAGGTGGGGGTGGGGGAGGATGATTTATATATGTATATAAAAGCAATATTTTTCTTTCGCAGCATTAACTTAAAGCTCCATCGCGGCAGCTGAAATTTAGATATGATTTATCTGTGATTATTTTAAAGCTGTTTGGGGGAGGGGGGGGTTGGAATCACGGCACGACGCTGCTGTGTCCGGGGGAAGGTTCTGCCCGGAACGCGGCTGTGCCTTTGGTTGTCTCTCTCGGATGGTCGCCGCGGAGCCGTGGCGCAGCGCTCGGGCGGCGGCAGCGCTCAGCCCGGCTGCGCGGAGCGGTGCGGATCGCGGAGCCGAACCCATTCTCCCCTCGCTGTGAGCGGGGAGAGGGCGCGGGCCCCCAACCCCCAACCCCCGGGGAAAGCTCCCGGGCCCCCGCCGCCGCCCCTCGGTGACAGCCATCACGGGTGAGCGGCTCGCAGCGCTGTTTGTGCCGCCGAAGCCTCGCATTTGCATTGCATTGCGGTACCCGGCGGAGTGGGGCTGCGGCGAGCGGCGGATTATTTATTGCGGGCGGCGGTGCTCAGTGCTGCCACGGCGTGGCCGAGCGGCGGAGGCGGGCACGGGCGCGGGGCAGCGCCGGGAGACTGCGCCGCTGCTGCCGGCACCGCGCAAGGGCTTAACCCCAGCCTCCCCCCATCCGAAAATATATATTAAAAAAGGGATATATTTTTAACAATGAAGTCCTGCCTACCGCACCTCTATGGAGCATCGCTCCCGTGGGCCGATATTGCGCTGCCTCTTCCCTTCGCTGTGCCCTCGGTGTGTGTGATGTGGGTGTGTGCGTGAGCCGAGGGCGGCCCTCGGTCTGTGCACCCCGAGCTGCCCCCCAGTGTCCCTCGGGTCAGAGTGGCCGCTCGGCCGGCCCGGAGCGCTCGGATTCGAGCTCTTAGTTAAAGGCTTTGGAGCGGGGGGGAGGGGGACGGAATGCTGCCGAGCTGAGAATGGTTTCTAAGGGGGTTTGTGCACGAAGAGAAGGAGGATTTTAGGGTTTAGAGGGGGAGTGCCCCCGCACCTGTACCTGTGGATGAAGAGAGGGGTACGCGGGACGCGGGGAACTCTGCAAACAAACGCACGGCCGGCAGATACCGGGGGCTGAAGCGCGGGGCTCTGTGGCAAAACGCTGCGGCTGCCTTCTGCTTCCCTGTAGGAAAACTGCAGTGAATGTGGCCGGGAGGGCAGAGCTCGGGGTGCCGGGATTTGGGGTGCGCGGAGGTGGGGGGAGGAGCGCAGAGGACGTGCAGATACGAGTGCGGCACAGAGCGCAGCGCCGAGCGTTCGGTTGTCACCGAAACGGCTCGGACCGCGGCCCGGCCGCGCACAGTAGAGAACTGAGTGCCTTTGGTATTACGAGAGCAACGAAGAAATAGTTTCGCCGCTCGCGGCCGGGAAGTAGACGGTACGGTTTGGATGCGAGCGATAACTCGAGGGAGAGAAGAAAAAACCAAAAGGAAAAAATAAAAGAGAGAGAGAAAGAAATAAATCAATGCATAAGCTATGCTGCAAAATGTAAATAAAAGAGAGCCTTGCGCGATTTTTTAAACGTTGGTCTACGTGCGGTGGATTCACACAAAGGCCGCCCGACCACAACTTTTTAAAGTAGGGCCGCTGCGCTCCGCTTGCCCCGAATATTGATGTTTCACGGCGCGTTTTCGTTCTGCCCCACGTTGGGGGAAATCCTCTCGTTTTAAACCTCTTTGTGCTCACCGCGCTGGGTGCTGGGCTGCTGCCGTTCCCCCTTTTTATAGCCCTATTTGCAGAGAGCACAAAACTTTCCTGGGGAAGGCAAACACGCGTTTCCCAACGAGCCCGCAGCTCAGAGCCGGCGTTCTGCCAGGTGTGGCCGCGGGTCGGCCGGCACCGGGAGTTTAAGGAAGTTGAAAAAAAATTGGTGGCAATCAACATCTGAATGTGAAAGTCCAGCTGAGGCCGCGAACAATACGAACTATTGTGGGGCGACGTTTTAACTCGCTGCTGTTTTATAGGTATCGTAATCAGCCCCCGGAAATGAGATAAATAGCCCTCCGACAACAACAGAACTCTCGGGTTAAAGCTGCTTTAGGAAACGGAGCTCGCACGAATACCATTTTCCGGCGGAGAGCGTTTAAAATTAGGATATTGGCTGTGTTGTAATGGGAACACGCACGGCTCGGGGTGTGCCCTCCTCCGCAGGAACCGCGGGGTTACGGTTCCGCCGTGCGCATCGCGGCGAATTTCATCAGCACTGTTACTGTCCCAGCCCTGGGCCGGGAATGAGATTTCCGCTACGGGTAACTGCCATGTTGAAAAATGAACGTGGAAATGTTTGTTTCGCTTTTTTTTTTTTTTTTTCCCTCTCTCTTAAAGACACACATACGTGTTTGATCAAATTCTTTTAGAGCTACGACGAAAGCGATTGGCTTCTACTGACTCAATAGCGGGCCTTCATTAATTAGAGATAGTCCCGCCGGCTCGTTGTTGGGTTCGGATGTTTGGTTCCTTCGGCCTGGCAGCAGCCGGGATGGGGGGTCGGGAAGGCCGACACGCGGAGGTGTATCGGGGCTGTGCGCGGGGGCTCCCCCGTCCTTTCTCGGCCCCTTCTCGGATGCTGGAGCGGAACACCCCTTCCCCGCAGGCCGCATTTCCCCGCTCGGGCCCGCAGCTCGCCGTTAATTGCCGGAGCGCTCATTAACGCCCGGGACCGGGCCCACGCGGGAGGCGCAGCCTCACACAAAGCTGGCGCCGGGGCGGAAAGCCCCATCGGAGGGGGGATTTCAGCACATCACCTCCAGCCCGGCGGCCTCGCCCCCAGCGCCGCGGTGGGGGCGGCGGCGGGGTGCGGTGGCTCTCCCACCGGCAGAGCCCCTCCGGCGCCGCGCTGCCCCTTCCGTCCTCCAAACTTTCCCTCCGCAGCATCCATCATCGCCCGCCCCCTCCCCAGGGCCGGGGCCCGGCGCTCGCCCACTCCTCCTCGGCGCTGCGAGGCGACAACTTTTACGGGAGGCTCCTCTCCCCCCCCGGCGCCCCCCTCCCTCCCTCCGACCACCGAAGGAGGGGGCTCCGCGTCCCCCGCTGTCACCCGCGCGCCGCCGTTCTCACGGCGGGATCCCCGAGGGGCGGTCCGCCGGGCGGGGGCGCGGTCGGTCCCCGCGGGCCGTGGGCGCGGGGCGGCGCGGGGCGGCGCGGCGGGGCCGGGGCTGTCGGTAACTTCGCGGCGCGGTGGCGGCGGCCCCGGGGGAGCGGGCGCCGCTCGCGCTCCCATTGGCCGCCCCGCCGTCAGCTGCTCCTATTTTCTGCTGTCG